TTAATTGAATCATTCTTGCAGATTTAAAATTGACTCGTGTGCTGAACACGAGACTGGAAAATTAACTTTCATAGTTTGCATACCTATATTTGATAATGTTTTTTTAATTTACCAGATTATTGTCACAGGATAACTAGGCTGGTTGACCCAAATGCAGAAATGACACTCAGGAGAGATGGAATCAAAAAATAAGGTTTATTGTAGAAATTGATATAATAAAGATGAGAAAGAAAACGAGGCGGGGGTGTTACTGGTAGGGAGTAGATTGTCCAGGAAGCCACGGAGAAGTCTCGGGTTTGGTGCAGGTGGAAACACAGACGGGAAGCGGGAACACTGGAGAATCCTCAACGAAGGAAAGGCGGTCTTGCTGAAACTCGGAGGGAGGCTCGGGGGAACACTCGGGTGGTGGCTAGAAGTCGCCATGTAGGGCAACACTCAGGCAAAGAGTGAATGGTGAAAGCTCCTCTTATACCGGTGGTGATGACCCAAATGAATTGCAGGTGTGTAGCTCACACACCTGCAGGGAATCAGTCAATGAGAATTCTTCCAGGACGCCCTCTGGTGGACGCCTGGAGGAGAACAAAAACACAGGGCCAGAAATCACCATTCCCTGACATCTATTACACCACAGTATACCCAGTAGGATGTCTGGTAATATTTATAAGTTGTTGCATGAGTTTATTTTATTTGTACATGCATTTAAAATTCCTCTTGTGAGAACGATCACAAAAAAAAGTATTAATAAGCAAAAGTTGTTGCAGGTGTTTGATAATTTTTTTTTTCATTAAACTGCGTTTTTTGTTATAATATTAAGCCTTCATTAAACTGCTGTTTTTAAATATTTATTTTCCATTAAACTACATTTTTTAATATTATTTTTCATTAAACTGCTGCTTTTTTATGTATTTATTTTCCATTAAACTACATTTCTTTATGTAAGGCTTCTATTACACTGCTGTTTTTAATATGTATTTTCCATTAAACTGCTGTTTTTTTAAAAAATTATTTTCCATTAAACTACAATTTTTTATATTATTTTTCATTAAACTGCTGCTTTTTTATATATATTTATTTTCCATTAAACTGCTGTTTTTGCTATTTATTTCCCATTAAACTGCTTGTTGCAATTGTGTTGCAGTCAGCTTTTTATTCACGTGTTCTCTTTCCATAGTGCTTTCATGCACATTTTACCAACAGAGCTGTACACAAATTGAATTTCTATTAATCTGTGTGCATCAGTACTTACACTGAAGCTCTTCATGTAGGTACATCATGCATATGAGCTTCAGCCAATTTAAAACATGTAAAGTAGCCTGAGGGCTGAGTAAATAAAAGAAGAAATAAATAAATCTGCCACTACAGGTACACTGTAATGCTTGTTTCCCGCAGAGAAAACAAATTAAAAGGCCATTTTAAATTACAACATGCAGCCGTGAGGGCCGAGGCGGTGCAGCTCCGTCAATACAGAGTGCAAGCTGCTGATGGCAGCTGGAGAATGAATATCTTTCATCAGCTGATGAAATGTTCATGCATTTGATTGTTTTTTTAATTTATTTTTTACCATTTTTGATTCATTTCACATCATCATCATGGTGTTAAGGTACAATGTTCTCACAGTAAACTTCATATGGAGGTTACGTTGACCTCCTAACTTACTAACGTCACTCCGCTGCTCAGGTTTGACTCCAGAACAA